GAAGAGCGGAGTGCGCAGGCCAAGCAGTGGCAGTTATAGGGGCCAGCACAAAAGAATATCAAAGAAATTACTGTAAAGTCCAGGGATTCGGGGTGGGGGTGGGGGGAGAATCTATGGGTATCCTGACTTCGATTGAGTTGGGGGTGTGTGTGTGACTGCATCTAGGCCAAGTGGCCAAAAGGGCTGGTAGGTGGAGACGGCATCCCTGGGAAAAGACATTCAGACAAGGTCAATAAAAGCAATCAAGCCCACCTGGCTGCTTGATAAAAATTACATCTTGCACTCAGCTGTACCAGAGCCATAGCGCAGGACACCCATTTATTTAAAAACAAAATTATTGATTGGTGTTTGCTTACTTCGTTTATACCCCACCTTTCTCCCCAACGGACAAAAGGTGGCTGTCATCGCTCTCCTCTCCTCCATATACTCCTCGTAACAACAACCCTGTGAGGTAGGCTAGGCTGAGAGTGTGACTGGCCCAGAGTCGCTTCCACAACAGACGGGTGGGTCTGAACCGGGGCCCCCCAGATCCTAGTCTGAGAGCGTCACCACCACACTAACTGCCTGAAGAACCCAGCCTTGGGTATCCAGTCCTCACTGAAACAGAAGGTCAGAGAAGAGGCAAACTGGACACTGTACAAACCGAAGCAGCTGTTTGCCCCTGGCTGGACGTTGTGTAGGAAAGTGCTGACCGGCCTCTCTGCCTTTCATTCCCCACTTTAAGCTGCTGAAATATATCCAGCCCCCCCCCCCCCCGAATCTGTGCTGAGGAGTTGGGTTTAGGGACACACGTTAGCATTGGTCTTTACTTAAGCATCAGCACCACGGAGACAAGTGCCAGATCTGGGGCTGAACGCAGCACCTCCCTGAAAAAACACAGCCTCAGCATCCAGCCTGACATGTCCACCGTGGGGCCGCTCCAGCTTCCCACAAGCTAAAACATCTCCCTGGAGCAGGCAATGGGTGCAAAAGACCAAGATGCCCGCCCCCTTGAAAGCAGGATCCGCCTTAAGAGCTGTGCGCTGGCTGAAAACCTAGCGATGCATCATAACGTTAAAAAAAGTCAGCTATTTTAGAACCTGTGAAAAGCAGACAGCGCCAGGGAAGCCACGTTACCGGCATTTAGAGACGAGGACCGGTTTAAGGTAGAGAGAGCCGGGGACTAGAAGGCGGCCTTCAACTGTTGCCTTTGGGGCTCGTGAACCAATGAGCAGCACGCAAGCCAGCAAGTAAGCGTCCAATTTCCATGGCTTGCAGCGCATTTCTTTGCAATATCTCATGAAAGGGCAAGCAGGGCTGTTAGGAGCCTTGGGGTGACTCTGAAATAGGCAGCTGCTAAATCCACCTCAATAAAAATGAGCAGACCAGATCCGACCGTGCACAGCTTAAGCAAAGCAAGAAAGGGCTGGGGGGGGGCACATCTGCTCAGCCCCCCCCCCCCGTAACGGGTGACTCTCCAGAACTGCGGGACTTCCACGCTCCTGGCCACAGCTCTCGTACTCACTGGAGAAGGCCTGAAGGAAAAACTGGAAGGCAGAAGGGAAAAGAAAGAGAAGCCAACACCCCAACTGCCCGCAGACCAAAAACAAGAAGAGCCGTTCCAAAAAATGGGACACGCAACGCTGGACTCCTGGAAGTGTAACAGTCCAGTAGCACCTTAAGGCCTAACAGGATTTGGGGCAGGGGAGGAGCCACAAATTGTGTTAGTCTTTAGGGTGCCCCTGGACTCTTGCTCTTTTCTCCTGCTCCAGACAGACTAACACAGCTTCCCTTCGCGGTCTGTCTCCTGAAAGTGTTGTCTGATTTCACCCCTAGGGAAAAAATTAATAAGAAAGCCAGGCATGTTAGGGAATAGAAGGAGGTGGCACCCAACTCACACTGCAATTGCTCAGCTCAGAATATCTTATTGTCCTGTCCAGCATCTGGAAACGTCCGTTTGCTGTTCTGGCTGAGTTGCATAAACTGCTAAATACTCATTGGCTGTTAGCTTTTGGGATCACAAAGCAGTCTGGGAGAGGGGAGGACGGTCACGGAGCCTCCCGTTACTGTTTGGACACGGAAGAGAAGGGAGTGAAGAAAATGGGGGGAAAGAAAGAGCAAAGAGACGGGAGGGAAAAGACGAGTAGCACCCGGTGACAGTGGAAGAACTTGTCCAGAAGTAAAGGAGAACGAAAAGAGGGAAAGTTGCAAGTACTGGGGGGCAAAGAAGAGAACAAAAGAATCCTGTGGCATCTAGAAGGCGCAACTCCCCCCCCCCTTCCCGGCAGCATTTGCTTTGGGGACTGGAGCCCACTTCTCCCAATGCAACAGTGTAGGCTCCACATGCATCAGAATAAACCCACAAAGAAAGCTGGAATCAAGTGCTAAGTCTGCAAAATGCCACAAAAGACTCCTAATTATTTTGGCTGCAGCAGACGAACTCTGCTCTACCCCCCCCCCTCCAAACCGATAGCTCAAATGCCATTTTCAGCAATTGGAAGAGACTCTAGTGACAAGGAGGGAGAAAGGCATAAGAACATAAGAGCATAAGAGAGAAGCCAATGTTGGATCAGGCCAAAGGCCCATCCAGTCCCACACTCTGTGTCACACAGTGGCCAGAAATACCAGGGGCCACCAGGAGGTCCAGCAGTGGGGCCAGAACATTAGAAGCCCTCCCACTGTTGACTCCCCCCCAAGCACCAAGAAGACAGAGCATCCCTTGCCCCAGACATAAGAGAGACGCCCATGTTGGATCAGGCCAATGGCCCATCCAGTCCAACACTCTGTGTCACACAGTGGCCAGAAACACCAGGGGCCATCAGGAGGTCCAGCAGTGGGGCCAGGACATTAGAAGTCCCCTCCCACTGTTGCTCCCCCCCCCCCAAGCACCAAGAAGACAGAGCATCACTTGCCCCAGACATAAGAGAGAAGCCCATGTTGGATCAGGCCAATGGCCCCTCCAGTCCAACACTCTGGGTCACACAGTGGCCAAAAACACCAGGGGCCCTCAGGAGGTCCAAGCATGCAAGGGGGAGCTCCGAAGGATGCCCTGCACACTCCTGCCCTGGGGGGGTCTCCCTCTCCGCCACAGACACCAAGTGCCGGCCACAGCCCCCCCCCCCCCACCCCCCCCGGCACGCCTCAGCCCGCTGCGGACACCTGATGCCGGGACGCCCAGGCCCCGCCCCCTGAGCCCCCTTGCCAGGGCTGCACGCGGCACAGCCGGCCCACGCGTTCGAGGCCAGCGCTCCGAAGAGGAGCGGCCGCCCAGCTGGCCGGGCCGGGGAGTGGTGGGCCAGGGAAGGGCGGCTCTGGCACTGGGCGCCCTCCCTCTCAGCGCCTCTGGGGAAGCAGCGGGCAGAAGAGCCCCAGCCCAGGCGGCGCCTCCCGGGCCACGCAGACGGCTGCGCCCCTCGAGGGCACTCTCCCTCCCCGGGAGGCAGGCGGGCGGGGGATGCCTTCAGCGGCAGAGCTCCGCCGGAGCCCAGCAGGGCGAAGTTTTGCTCCCCGGACCCCGGGCGGGCGCGGCCCACGAGGGGGGCACCGGGGACGGGACGGGACGGCGAGAGCGAAGAAGGGAGACACACACACACACACACACACACACACACCCCGGGGCGGCGGGGCCAGGGAGGAAACTTGGCCGGGAAGAAGTTCCGCGGGGCGCCCCCCCCCCCCCCCCCCCTCCCCCGGACC